GAAGGAGAAGGAGAAGGAGAAGGAGAAGGAGAAGGAGAAGGAGAAGGAGAAGGAGAAGGAGAAGGAGAAGGAGAAGGAGAAGGAGAAGGAGAAGGAGAAGAAGAGATCAGTAAGTCTGAGGGCACGAAAAGGCTGCCAAATGTCAAAGTGTGTAAATGTAAGTTACCACTTGGAGAAATATTACAACAAATCTGTGCTCCATACATTAAAATGTCTTAAAAATCCAATGAAAAATACTAAACTACCTCAGAGAAAAAAAGAGAGAAGAAGGGAAAATAGAAAAAAATTCACAGAAGGGGAAGATGCAAGCAATACGTTTAAAAAATTAACCTCGCTAGTAAATGTTGTTTAAATTAGCACCAAAGAAATAATAACAGAAACAACAAGAAAGACATTAAAATAGCACTGAGGTGCAGTTTTGACTGGTTTCAAATCTGCACAATATCTCATATTGTTGAGAAAATAATGAAATCTTCTGCAAATGTGTTTCATACCATACACATCAAGTATTATAAAATATGCATGGCATTTAGGCGCAATAATTCCCTTTCAAGAACTTTATGTTGGTGATGTATTCAGAAATGAAGATAAATATCTATGCATATAAATTGAGTTTATGAAAGTAAAATAGTCAAAAATAATAAAAGCATTAATTTTTATAAAGGGATAATATTTGCAGCTATTAATAATATACTTTAAGACTATTTAAAGACAAAAAAATGCTTCAAAGCAAGTGATGAAAAGCAAGATTTCAAATATAGCCTCCTCTCTTCCCCCAGTTATTAAGTTAATAAGATAATAGGATGGTATGATTATGGCTACTTTCTTGTTTCCTTTTTTCCCCTCTTGTTAAAGTAACTTCATATTCCTTACCATGTTTCACTAAGGTTTCCATAGTTAGTTTAAAAAAGAAACTTACATTTTATCTATCTATCTATCTATCTATCTATCTATCTATCTATCTATCTATCTATCTGTCTATCTTTTATGTATTTGGTGCAGGGTCCTCACTACACAGCTCAGACTTGTAGTGATCCTCCTGTTCTCAGCCTCCCTAGTGCTGGAATTACAAGCGCGCACCACCATGCCCAGTGTTGGTGGCTGGTTCAGTGCACTGATGGTGGTACTGGCATGGCATGTGGTGTTAGGGATCAAACCCCAGTTCCTGTGCTTCTCTAAGCAGGTACTTAGTCCTCTGAGCTGTCTTGTTTCCCCTCTTACATCATATTTTAAAGCAAACTTTCAATCATGTGTTTCACAAAGACTTTAAAGTTATCAGAATGTTTCCAAACTTAATGTGATATTATATACATACTTATTTAGCTACTAGCCCTTTCTCTCCCCAGTGGTGAAGAATATTCTTTGTTGCCTACTATTTCCTAGCATTTAAACCTATTTCTGTAGCATCATAGGAGTTCCACAAATATTTGCTGAACAGAAAAACAAATGCATAAATGAATAGATGACATCTGCATACACACATGAAAATACATTTAAAATATTTTACCATGCTATGAACTTCATGCAGAAGTGATGTAGGACACCAAAAAGATCTAAGGTTGATGATGAGTTTCGATCAGACAACCACAATTAAAGGTTATCTTCACAGGAATAGCTAATCAAGGATATGACTTGAAAAATCACACCAAATGCAAATTTAAAGGAAAATATTTCTCCACCTAACTCCCAACTTAGTACTAATTATTTCTTTTTGATCTGAGTTCTTTTAAGTGTTATGTACTGAGCTTTCTTCTGAGATTTTAGTGCTGATGTTTCTGTTGTACTCCTTTCTCCTTCCAAACAATTGTTAGCAGACTTAGATATTTCAGAACTACATGATTTTAAAGTGCATTTGAATACCTTTCTTCAACCAATATTGCCTTTTAGTTGTTCTTCACTATTTATTACTTTCAAATGATATTAGTGATGACTTTGCTAAATTTTATCGGTATTTTCTAAACTTTGAGACAGAAAAGTAATATATACTACAATTTAAAAATTCAGAGTGTCCGCTAGATAGCTCAGCAGATTAAAGTGCCTGCTTAGGCAGATGCAGGGACTGGGGTTTGATCTCTGGTATGCAGTGCTGACCTTGCCCCCAGGGTGCACTGAGAAGTCAATTGAGAGGTACTTGGGAGGCTAAAAGCAGGAGGATCTGTGCAGTGAGACCCTGTACTAAAAACATAAAAAATAAAAATTCAGATTTTCTATTTGAGAAATCTTTATAGAAGAAAGTTACCTGTCCTCTGAGTGTGAAGTGAAGACACTCTCATAGTGAGCACAGCTGATCTTGCAATGGAAACAATAGAAGTGGACGGAGAAACCACAGGTGCTGCTCATTGTCAGAATGTAATCTTATATTCCAAGTACTTCAAGTTTAAAATTCATCTTCACCAATTAGTGTGCAAAATGATCCACTTTTAAAAAGTCATTTTTATTGATAATTAAGATAAATATGTTAGATATATTAAAAGATTTACTTTTTTCCCAAAGTGAAAAGATGTATTCTTTCCCTTTATATTCATTGATCCATCATTTATAATGATAGTTCTATATTTTGTTTAAAATTTTCATGTAAGGGCCAGGGAGATGGCACAGTAGAATAAGTGCTTCCCTGGCAAGTGCAAGGGCCTGAGTTCAATCCCCAGTTCAGCCAAAATAACATAAAATAAAATAAATTTTCCATGTAAAAAATCAGTAGGAGAGTGAGGAGAACAAAAAGTATGAAACATTTTTAGCCAATTGTACTTCTGACAAAAGACTTCTGTCTAGAACATATAAAAACTTAAAAAGAATCAGACCATCCAAATTCAAAGATCCAATCAAAAGATGGGCATCTCAGATAAATACATCTCAGATGAAGGATTACAAACAACAAATCAATATATGAAAAAATGCTCAACATCACTGATCATTCAAGTGATGCAAATTAATTCCATCTCACCCCAGGAAGAATGGCTTTCATCAAGAAGCCAACCAACAACAAGTGCTGGAGGGGCTGTGGGGAAAATGTCACCCTTCTCCACTGTTGGTGGGAGTGTTGTTGGGTACAATTCCTTTTTGAGAAATCTTCTCAAAAAACTAGGATTAGAGATCCCATTCCACCCATCTATTCCCCCTTGAGGGTATCTTCACAGAAGAATTAAAAGCATCATACTACTGCAGTAAATGTACACTCATGTTTATAGCAGCATAATTTGTAACAATGAGATCTTGAAAACAACCCAAACGCCCATCAGCTGAACAATGGATAAAAAAGATGTGGTCTGCTTCTACTCAGTCATAAAGAAAGATAAACCTGAGACTTACAGGTAAATATACTTTTACAGGTAAACCACTATAGAGCATATTCATAAGTGAAATAAATCAGACTCATATATGTAAACATCATATTGTCTACCTGGTATGAGAAACTGAAAGAGAAAATAAGGTCTAAAATTTACAATAGATATTGTGAAATGGGAGGAAATTGTTCAAAAGGAAAAAGGATCTAGGATGGTAGAAAGGGGAAAGGATAAAAGAGAAAAGGAAAAAATTCAAGTCAGTTATACTATTAGTATCTCTTAGTTTATTGAAAAGGAAGGTTTGTGCTTGTATTAATTGGAGAAAATTTTATGCCTGTGTACTCTAAGTAACTACTTTAAAGGTATTCTCCTACTACTTTATTATGGAATTTTTCAAGCCTTTTTTCCCTTTTCTTTCTTTTTTATGTACTTAGTACAGGGTCTACAGGGCTCACTATGTTGATCAGACTCATAGTGATGCTCCTGTTTTCAGCCTCCCAAACACTGGAATTACAGGTGTGTGCCACCACGCCAAGTCTCAACCTTTTTTTCCATAAAATAAAAAAATACCATGCAAGAACAATTGCTCCTCATTGAACACTGTACGTGTGTATTCTCTGTGTTGAGTTCATCTTTGCTTTGCTTCCTGGGGCCCAGGATGGCTTTGCTCAAAGCTTCTGCCTGACTCCAGCAAGCCACATGATGCGATGAGTTTTTTTCTTCATTCATCCTCATTGACAGTTGCTGATGGCCTGCACGTCTTACCCTCTCTCTCCTCCCCTCACACTGCAGCTGCCCGTGTGTTTGATCGACAGTATTGCTCCATGTAGCCCCTTGTGCAGAAGTCATTAAAGGCCCTATTTACCCTGTTGACCCTATTGCCGTCTAGGTTTGGGAAGTGATTTATGTTGGCTGGCCCAGGACAGGTGAAGGCTCTATCCATGTGAAGTGGGGACACCAGACAAAATAGATTAAAATCCAGAAAAATCTTACTGTGCATGAACATGTTAGGCTATTACAAATGGCAATGAACATTTGCATAGTTCAGGTGTTTAAATTGCAAAAGCAGGGGCAGG